ACGTGTACTTTACCCATTTGTTATGTATTTGTAAATATATTTGTAGTAATGAAAATATGAAAAGGACTTCCCACACCAAGAAAAAATATCCCACAAAGAAAAAAATTCAAATCACATTAATATCACTAGTCATCAACATAATAGTAAAGAAACGTTATTTATTTCTTAAGTGTCCATTTTACAAGCATATATGTGATATGTCTTACAGGCCTTTATAACTCAACAAACTGGCAGCCAATGTTTGAACAAAATCACGAAAAATCGTATGTCTAGTTATTTGTCGTTTTGACAATATGAAAAAGAATGGTAGAATTAGATATGCACACTGATATAGTGGGGATATTAAGGGCGAATTTAACGTTACTTTGTATATAAGATATCAACGTTTTAAAAACACGTGACGCTTTGTGAAGAATCCTCGCATGTTTGAATCTATTGAACAAATGAATACAAATAACAACAAGGACTTGTATGATATAGCAATGTTTATGTAATTAGGTAATAAAAAACGAGAACATATTTTACAACAAGACTGTACACAAGTAAATAACACATTTTAATACATTTTTGAAAAAAAATACCGTAGAGCCAAATACTTCGTCATATAGCTGTAATTTCAGGAGACATACGTGATGCTAATGGGGTAGGAGAGTCTCAAAACTATGTAGCACACAGTCTACATCTATAGCAATAATTTTTGCAGTATTTTGCCTGGTGAGTTCAGAACACCATTTACAAAAGGAGTTTGTCAAGACACACGATATTTTTGGTAAATGACTATCGGAAAGTGTGTTTCTTAAGTACTTCAAGTGAAATTGTCTTACCAGGAAGAATAAAAACATAAAACGGCCTTTGAAGCAAAGACAACTTTTCCTTCGTGTTGTTTTGGTACATCGGAGACATGGAACATATACTATCATTAGGTATCATGCATTGATTTAATCCTAAAAATGAATTATTTTTAATTGTCCTATGTAAATTTAAAGAGGATTCCGGATGTAAAAATGTATTTTTGAATAAGTAATATGTTATATCAAATATCACATTTGTGCTTCTGAACTATTTCCGCTCACCGGTTAAGTGGAATGTTATATGTGGTGTTAAAAGTAAAGTATTCGTCAGTTACATGTATATAACAAAACAGGCCAAAAGTCTTATTGATTTTATATTTTTAAAAAAAATAACAGCCGAATTAGAGTTATTTGAGTAGGTTTCTTTCGATTGACAATTTTCTTATCAAAATGTAAATCTTGTTTCTAAATTAGTTTGTCAAATAACCTTGATGTAATAACATTTACTTAAAGCTAAGTACTCGACCACAAACTCAACTTGATTGCCCCTCCTTCAGCCACACCTCCCCACTTTCCTCCCCAAAAACGGTTAGGCGGGGTGTTACTTGTGCAGTGACTTATAAATACAGTTAAGAACCCTTCAAGAACAATTGAGAAAACAGAATCGTCTAAATAATGCGTTCATGATAATGTTGGTCGCCTCATGGACGAGGACAATATTGCTATCATTGACAGTATTCTCTGTCATTGTTAAGTGGTAAAAACGATGGATTTATATTATCTTCACTTGACCCCGGTAAATGCATACGAGACAATGTAAGAGACCCTTTACGGCGCCATACTTTCTACGTCTGTCAGATTGTCTAATAAAACTGTAATATCCATGGTTTTGGTAGTGAATTGTGTTTAGAATGAGTATTGTGTGTATTTTAAAAGAACTTTTTTATATGTTACCTGCCACTGACACCGACTACACGTTTCAATAAATAACGACAGCTCGCAAGGATCTTTAGCTTGTCATACTGGCATTGCTTTAACAACGTGGTTATAATGTACGGTTTTCACTTATTATATCGCAAAATAAACAAAGCAATGCTACAACATCAAACATTGCAATGGATCAGATGACTTTTAGTAGATAATTAAATCAAAATGTCGTGTTGGATTCCAAAACCAGAACATCAACAAAAGATACACTGGTGTACATGTATATTTTTAGAAATTGTGTACCATTGTTGTATATTTTGAGAACTCGTGTTCCATGATTGTTATATTTCAAAACCTATATCACATTGTTGTATATTTTTAGAACTCGTGTTCCATAACTTATATACTTTAAAACCTATAATTGAAATGTTGTATAATTTCAGAACTCGTGTTCCATGATTGTTATGTTTCAAAAACCTATAATACCATGTTGTATATTTTCAGAACCCTTGTTCCATGATTGTTATATCTTTAAACCAATGATTGTACAACATTGTGTACAGACATCATGTGTCATTGAAGTATTTTATTTTAAATCTATATTACACTGTTGTAAATGTTCAGAAATCGTGTAGAATTGTTGTATCCTATTGTCGGCAGCTATACCACACTGCTGCATCATGTTTTACAACACTTATAGTACAATGTTGTGTATGTCATTGCACCATACGGGATCATGTAAAGTTTATGCATGAAGACGTTAGCCAGGAATGATTGCGTCGTTAATGGACACCATTCAAGTGCTATTACACTGAAATGTCATAACCTGGACACGGTTGCATGACTTTTCAATTTTCTATTTGGGGACAAAGCCTATCATGTCACATTTCAGAGGAAGTTTGAGTAGAAGTCAAATGTATCATTAGAGACGATCAAAATGAAGATGTTTTTAGAACAGAGAGGAAGCATACATACATATTTAGTTGCCTTTTATGATCCTATAACGAGGCCAGACTAAGCTATTCGTTCAGGACAGCATTTCATTCTTGCATACTACATCCAATACCTATAAGACATTGTTGTACAGTACAATACTTACATTTTGTATTGCACTTGCCTATATGTTACTATTGTTACCAAAAACTGTCGTATACGTAGCTGCCGAAGATGTCTCCCTGGTAAATAAAAATAGCAACCGGTCACGTTCAATGTAATTATATAGATACATCATAATTGTTAAATTTCATTTTAAGAAAGTAAGTTAATAACCTTTGCAAGTTTGACTGGACAAATTTATCTTCAAACGTGTCATTTGTCACAAAATCCTTAATATTTTCCCCATAACATGGTATCAACCTACAACACTTATTTATATTCTTAAGATATATTTTATATATATCATAAGATTGTATTCTGTATAAAAAAAAATATCAGGAAGGCTTTTGGTACTGTCTCCTTTTTAAAGTTCTTCTCCCTACTTAATCCTTATCATTTTGAAAGTATAATTATCACAAGGAGGTTTGAACAGAAAATCAACACTTCCACTCACATAAGGAGATCACCCATACACTGTTGCCTGATATCTGTTCATCAGTAATGCTATTGTATTATAATATCAGGACCGTAAATCATACTGATATGTCATATTTTCATATCACATATCAAACTTTCATTCTGTTTTATTTTCAGACTGTATATTTCAAGCGTTTACAAATGTTGAACGTAATACACGTTCGTATAATATTTTCTTGAGCGATAATAGACCTACCTTGTTGAAAAGTAATTTTATAATCTATGTTATACAGTTGTATATATTCAGAATGAGCTGTATATGCATCATGTTTGAAGTACTTTTATTCCACTGCTGTTTAATATTTTCAGAACGTTATGTACACTATTTTATCCGTTTACTCGTCTCACTTAGATTAGACGTCTGGCCCCGAGTCACAGACAGTATTTATCAAATTATTGGTTCGGAATCGAACCACTGACCTTTTGTTATGTCTCATTTTATCTGCTGATAAAACAGGAGATTGGGCATAATTAGTATGTTTATACATATTATCTTTACATCAGCTTATCTTATTTTAGCTATCTTTTGGTTTGTTTATTTGTATTTAATTTTTTTTTTGAGAGAGAAAAAGATTTGTGCTCCGACACTGATGTTACCATAGCGACATGGTATATCTCAAAAGAAGGGAAACACTTTTTATGTTGGTTGTACTTTTAATGCAGGCATTAAGTCTGTGAGGATCGTCACCAAATCACTCGTAAATTTTAATAAAGATTGTTCTGTCGGCTGTTCACCTGTGTTACATATCTCTTAGCATCACTGATGAGACATAGAAGGATGAAATAGCTGTGTGATACAGCTGAATTCATTGTTTGGCTGCACTGTAACAAACACTAAAGCTGTATTAAAAGGTCCTGCTCACTTCTGTGTCTTTTGTACAATGTTATACATGTTAGATCACTATGGATATCGGTTAATACAGTTGTGTGTGAATAAAGTTTGTGTTACAACGTTAACAGTTCCTCGTGTCAGGTAGCATTACTTTATTACTTGTTACCGGTAGCCTATATAGTGTATCTAGGTTTTGACATTGTGAACATCCTGTGATAAGACACAGTTAGCCAGTGATAATGTACACGCGCCTTAGGGAGGCACGCGTCCTTCTTAATCCTCACAACAGTGCGATATGTACACATACAAGTGAAACCACACCTCGTGTCTAACGGTGCTGTCACCTGTAGCCATCCGATCTTAAGTACCCGACAAATTTATCGTCACACTGTAGCATCAACATGCATATCTTAATTCCGGTATGACAAGTGGGAGGGGTTTATCGATGTTCTTACACACCAAGTATTAGCTGCGTGTTAAACCCCGCATAATCATTGTTAAAATTCAACAAAAACACCAGAGAGGCGGAGTCTCATATTCAAATGGATCGTTTTAAACAGATTTGACATATAGCACACGAACTGAAATTTAAGCCATCTGTATTACAGGTAGCGACTTTACAGGTAGATAGTCAAAGTGGAGCACGCGCTACAGTTCTGATTGGTTGTGATCGGTACATCCACGTGTGTGTTGTTGACAGCTATAGGGTTATACCTGCAGTGCTGGCTATTGATATTCAAACTTTCTGTCCTACGAAGGACCAGAACGGATATGTTGGTAAATTTGCCGTCAAATTGATATCGAATTTAGATATCATCGATACGTCAAATATTTAAGAGTCTGTGTATATACACACACACCGTACATATATTAGTAATATGGAGATGGATACATATTTGTATGGTATTGAAGACGACTTTTTAGATTTTTATGATCCATCCGTGGACTATGCAGATAGTTTAGAATCGCCTTGTTCTACTAATGAGTCGGACTCGGAAAATTTGAATCTGAACCCTTCATCACGGACAAAAAGTATCAAGAGGCCTACAAAGAAAATTCATCAACGCTCGGCAGCAAATCAAAGAGAGCGAAGACGAATGAAATCCATCAATGACGCATTTGACATTCTTAGAGACAGTATTCCTACTAGCGTCAATGCTGACAGAAGATTGTCCAAAGTTGACACTCTAAAATTAGCCATTCGATATATAAGTTATCTTGCGGACATGGTTGAAACCAGCAGTGAATATTCTCAAGACAGCCATTATTCAAAGTCCAACAGACCACAGGAGAAGGTCATTGTTCGATGTCATTTCGACGGTAAGTTCTGTGTTGGTCATCATTGGTTTAATAATTTACTTGTACTGTCCATATAGTTTTGTGTGTTTTGTTGTCAGACATTCGTTTTGTCAAATCATTGTATTTAATTAATTTCATTTTATTTTGGGAACCAACATGGATATCTAGAGATCAAACTGCAGCACGATTATTTAAATGTAATATGAAATATAGCTTAAAGAACTTTGAAAGGCCTACCTAACGTTACACTATGATATCTGTTAATTTCATCTTAATGTTGTACATGTTTTTTCATAAGAAAGTCTATCTTAAAAGTAATCATTTTTTCAATTTAATTACGTCTTAATCCGGAAACAAATAGCACAAGAACATTAATATTGTGAAATATACATATTCATTGATTTCTAATTAGGAACAAAATTCATTATTAAAAAAAAAAGAGGAAGAGGGGGGATGGGGCAAAAACAAGCAATGTAAACACTCTACCTTTTAACAATCACGTGCTATACTGTATGTAATATCTATTTAGGGAATGACTTTATACAGATAAGCCTGAAATCTAAACTTATAGGATTGGTGTTCTGGTATTGAGAAGTCGCATTACAATAGTTCGTTTACATATGGCACGAGAGCGCCACGCGACATCATTTTCATTCATCGAGGCTAAAACTTGAATTAATAATTACACCCGTATCTCGAATACAACCAATACACAAACCTGAGTAGATAAGTTATGCCTGGTTCATTATCGTTCACAATTATATCATCAATGGCGATATATATCAATTCATAGAGACATTACAAAATTGTTATAATGTTATAATTATTTATATTTGTATTGTTGGTAGATAATCGATTACGACAAAAGTTTGAACTAAAACGAGAAAGAGTCTATTTTATGTGAGGTTTGAAAACAGTAAACAAACCTCGCTTTCTTAGTGTATCGATTTGATCATGCTAGCGGTCCTCGCGATTTGTTCTCAACTTAAATATCAAATATAAAACATGTTTACATTTGCTGTCGAACACACAGTCAGGTATTGAGTTTCTTTATAAGGAGTGTTGAGATCATTCTCAGACACCAGTGTCCAGCTTCCGTACTTGTTATATAAAACAAAGGTATACGGTTATAGTATGCCGGTATATGCAATAACAATCCTTCAGAATATTACAATTCTATATTCGATTTTTCAAAGCGTCGATCCCTCTGTTGCGTGTACATTTTGATCCAATATGTATACGGTTTTCCAGTAGTGTTAATAGTTTTTTCAAGGAAAGTTCCTCGTCTCCTCTTATCCTGATAAGTTTTTGAAAACATAAAAACATGAGAACAAAATTATATTCCAAACTCAGCTTTCTAGATTTGACACCATGAAAAAATACAGTTATCTTCTATAGCATTTCTGTGTCAAGTTGTACCATTCGGAATAAAAGGGTAGAAAATGTAAATACTCCATAAATATTATCAACACAAAGTATGTCATTGAGTTTTTTTTCTATAATTTCTGTAACAACTAACGGGGTGTATCATTGGTCCCATACTATAACAGTTAAACAGTTACAACGATTAAAACAAGATAAGTACTTTCTCCCTGTAAGATAAGGAAACCACATCGAACAGACTATCAATCAATAATAAGCGAAAACAAGAAAGTCCTTAAATATCAACATTGATTAAACGATTGACATGATGCGAATTCTAGATTCAGGAATATTTAAAAGATAAGACTTTTTGTTACTGGTGTAGAAAACAATCAGATGTGTATGAAATCTACTTATACAAGGACTGTCTTATCTTGCAGATTATGCCAGCTCGTCCGACGGTGCAATGGGATACATGGGTCATTCCTTATCGTGGAAACACGCAGACCAAGAACCGGTGCGGACAGTAGATAACAAGCAAAGTGCCAAAGTGTGGGTGCCAGGTCACCCCTCAGAGACAGATCTACTAAACCTTTCGGCCTCGTACTCTGGCGACTATGGAAATGTCTCATGACACCAAAGAAATCTTTTATCACTAGAAAACAAGTTGATAACGGGTTGATGGTCCCTATCATTACGGACTAGCCTTTCGACAGTGAGATCCATCGTGATATTTTACATGGTTATTATCAAAACTGAACTGTCTTGCTACACTGCGTTGATACTTACTACTGTAGAACAGTTTACTATGACGATTAAAAATTGTTATTTTATTGCCTCAAGACTCAAATGGTTCTGAGACATTCTCGTGACATGAAGATGGAATGGTTCTTATCGTCGTTGTAGACAATCGGCGACTGTTATGAGCGATAAAATCTGCTCGATCATGTCCTGACTGAAAACGTTTGAACTTTGTAAAGCAAAGCAGCATAAGTTGGTATTAAATTTGTGCATAATATACATGTTGGTTTTATAAAAAGTCATATGTATTGATATATGTCATATCATTTGTTCTTAAAGAATTTGAAGTCAACCATTTACCACATTGGAAGACGTGAGGCTGGTCCTCTACTACAAGGCATTCACAATAGTTCTTGATCTTAGTAATATGCAATTATCATACAATGTACGTACATACACAGGGAGTTGGGAACATGTTTTTATATTATCGACTTTCATGTTCATATTCAAATTTATATATTAACGATTATATATTTACCTAATATAATATATGTACCTAATGATATCATAAATCCATTAAATGGTAATGATTTAACCAATGCGTTGTTTTTTTTTTATCAAACGATGATGTTGATCCACTTTTCATTTCATCAAAATATATGCAAGACCGACTGAGAAAGATAATACACTCTCTCACCCTCCAGTCGTCTTCTCTGGAATCAATTTCTGATTTCATTCGAGCAGTTTATGTCTCCTATAAAAGTTACAAAGCTTACAGCATTAAGGAGCTTTGCACCTCCACATGTTTTGGCAATTTTTTCGATCACTTTGGAATTTGGTGCATTGCTTCATTGTTCGGCTGGCTCTATTGTATCTAATCCAACTTTGCATGAATGAGTCCTGTTCATTTGTGTGTCTCTTGCACTATCTTTGGCAGTGTTTTTTAAAACATTATATCTTGTCATTTACATTCAAAATATGTCAATGATGTTGTCCCCTAATTGGGTCTCCTCTCTCCTCCCTGAGTATACCTCTCTTCCTTACACAAGATTGCTTTACTTCTGTGTTTCAGAATATCCTCTCTTACATGGACACTAGAATAATATTTTAATACCGAACACCATGCTTTGTCTTCCACATTTAACACACATCTTTTATTTCTAATACCTAAACTCACTCTATTTTGTTCATGAACATTATCTCATCCAATGAACATGTCTCACACTGGGCACGACACTTATGCTTCTGTACATCAAACACACGTCTACATGGTTATCGCCCAAACGTACCTTCCTAACATGCTAGATGAACTCGTGCTAGTAATGAAACATTGCGCATTATTCTTATGTCGAGTACTTCCTTCCGTCAACTTCTCGTCTTAAACACCAGTGTTAGTTATCTTATATCAAAGACAGTTTGACACCCAATCCTTAATCGACTTCCTACATTTTTCTTCACATTCATCTTATTCTTACAATTGCGATCTACATTTATTTTGGTAATGTTCCTGTACATGCTTCCCATACACCACTGTTATTCGCTGACTTATATCTGTAGTGATGTTCCAGTCTAATTGCCCTGGTTTTAAAATAAAACGACCACCCGCCTGGAATATTTCAATTCCGGATACAAATAAAACGTTTCAACCCTTATGTAATCTTTTCATCTTCAATAACCGCCTTACTTGTGCACCATCTCAAAGACAATATATGATGTTTAGATCTCTTACAATAAACGTATTGTTACCTGACAAAATCCATCTCCATTTCGGTAAATAAAAAGACGGACATGTCTCAATTCATTTAAAACACATTTAAGTATATTGCCATTTAAATGCGTTGTTTTATGATGAGCATTGCCTTGTAGTTGTGTAATACCTGACAAACAATCCGCTGGGTATGAACCACTGGGTAACAAATGGCAAACACAGGCTTAATAACCAACTTAGGTCCGATTAACTTACGGATAACAGATGAATACGATTGCTGTACATGTATAGGTTAGAAAACATTATCAAACTCAGCATAAACTTCTAAGATTAATATTGATCTCTATGAAAAACTAACAATAATTACTTTGACCAATGTTTATATGGCGGGTATCGTCGATGAAGCAGAAGGCCCGTGCTCTTTCGGAACATCTTGTATTATTCTCTTCGTACTTTTTCAGGAGTCTCCTTGTAAATCTTTCTTGTGTTGTGTTCATATGTTGACTTAGTTTTAAAGAATTTCCTTCTGTTGACATGTTGGTGTTTTGTTTGTTGTGGTGTTATAGTTATATCGAATTTGAGTTTGAAGTATGATTTTGTTAATATTTTGGTATTATTCTGTTTTGTTTTTGTCCTTATATTTCGTGACTTATAAACGATCTATTCGCTTTCACAGCAGCTTATCTGAAATTGTCTAAAACGTAAGTGTCAGTTTGGAATGTATGTAAAATGACATTTAAATAATATGTATATATGTATATATGTACATAAAACATTTATTGTCCATCATTTTACATATATGTAGATATGGGCAATGTTATTAGTTTCAAGGACGTAATAGTAAATTAATTACTTAATATCATATGCATCGTTCATTTTTGGATGAGAAAACGGCAAATCTCCACCGATACATTCTGGTACAAAAAGCAAAAAAAACACAAAGTGATTAGCACATATCAATACAAGATTATATTTAGATGCGGTATAGCCAAATGACAGACAATGGCATTCCACAAAAAAGAGAACGAAACAGAAATCTCAATAGAGGAATAGAATAATGAAAATATGATTTCATAAGTTTTATCATAAAGTTGGTATAGTCACTCATTTACTGAACAAGTTTGAATATTATCTTATAAGCAGTTTACATTTGAATTCATTTCATCCCACATAACGTGATATGAAGTCAATTTTGTCAATTATATTTTCCATATATATATACTTACGTATACTCATTTCTTGTTGATTGTCTAAGGATTCTCTTAAAATTGTGTAAATAAAACTCAGATCCGTTTTACTTTGCTCTTTATTTTTATCGCACAATTTGATGGCATACTTAACCAGGATGAGGTGATTTTTGCTCCTAATTTGGCCGTAAAGCACGTGCCAGCTGCTCTGTTTTGAAGTAGGCAAGCTAATTATAGGCTACGGTTATGCTCAAATAACACGCTAGTTGTGTCTAATATGTTTACTCTTCTCCAATAATAGCGCTATCATTTTAATTAATATCACCTATTATTGACACAATTTTTATCAAATGCATGCAATACAAACTCCATCAATTTTTACATGTTCCAGATGATTTTCTGTCAATATGAACAATGGGGAACCCAAAATTGGGCGTAGCTCCCTGAACCTGTGACCCTATTGTGCGCCTACTGGCTGGTTCTGGGGAAGGTATTATGCGTTTGATTTTCAAACACCCAGGTACACTCAGCAGGGTAATTGAATAGTCGTGAACTTTAAATCCATTTTATGTTAAAACAAGTTGTAATCGATAAAGTGATAAATGCCAAGTAACAAGAAAACCGTTGATGTTTGAAACATTTCATTGTAAGATCGAGACAAATGAAACCAAATTATACTTGATATAACAGACTTGAAAATACTCAAAGACTACCATTGGGAGTACAGGTCAAATCGCAATGATAAAGTAGTGTTTCAATTGGGTAAGGGAAGGAACTAGAAAGATGTTGTATGTATATATAACGGCGAAGGGAAGTACGCATAGACTTAGGCAAATAATATAACGGTCAATTCATTTGCAGGGAAAATGCTAATAAGCCTGCTCCCTGCCGCGGTATTTTTTTATTTCTCAAAATGACAACGGAATATAAACGTGTAAATGTACCTATATTTTTAAATTTAGCGGTGGTTTGAAAAATCCTACATGATACTGTGTACGTAATTTTAGTTCATTTCTATTGATATTTTCCGACGTTACCTCGTTTTATTTCAGATGTTGGTGATGGTTTATAAGGTGCTGTTATGTATTGTAAAACAACTTGTAAATACTCATTGCAGGCTTCATAAATGTGTCATATATTCGGCTGTCACAATATCTTGAGTACAACTCGAAAGGACATGATCAACATTAAAATGCAATAAACTAACGCTGATAATTGCATTTCGTGTCATTTTGATATCGTTTATATATTTAGGATCCTTCGTAGCTCAATGGTATCACAAACACTTTTCTTGAGGTGAGCTTGACACTCTATTATAGCTGTTTTCAGTTTATGACACGTGCATCATCAAGTTGCTCTCTATGTGATTTCCTCGTCAGAGTAGTAAAAGTAGTAAACGTTTTTATTTACCTCACAGTCACGCGTGCATAGCCAGTCTAAATATATATATCAAACACATTCATTCTACTTCGGACCAAACCGTTATATTCCGACAATCATCGAATCCCAGACGAAAACAGACGATAACGACAGACACATGAGATGTAGGAAGATACAAAATGAGAAATGCCAACTCCTGCGATTTTAAGCAATGGATATCACAACATAAACATATATTTGGCATGAATTTACTTAAAATCGAAGAATTAAATCTCGACGTATCTGATGACCTCAGATATTGTCATGATATCAGCGAGTATACGATATATAAGTAAAGATGTGTCTTTGATTCATTAACAATCTTTTATTTACTTCTTTAGACATTAACATAACGATAATAATGGTCATACTTCGTTACACAGAATAACTGTTAGACTGACACTTCTGCAACACGTCATGCTCCTGTCGAAACGAAAATCTAGATATTGTATGACCCGTTTCCAAAACTCATTGTGTGAAAATTCTTTTTTATCAAGCCATAACGATGTTAAAGTCGAAAAACTGTTCCCGTATACCAATAAAAATAACATGTGAACACGTGTTTACAGCAAGTTGAAA